TCTCCATCATGTTGCCCTCACCCATTTTTTGTCGACAAATGTAGTACGCCCGACATCAGCACTTCCTCGAGTGCAGCCCGAGCGAGCGAGCCACGACGACGACCACGGCGGCGGCGGGAGGGGAGGGGCGTCGGAGAGGGAGCGTGAGCACCGGCGACGGGTCGTGGAAGGCGAGGTTCAGGGACACCTACAGCGTCAAGCGCAAGTTCTGGTTCGGTTCCAACGAGGCGTTCGTCCACCTCGATCACACTTCGTTCCGCTGCAGCGAAGACGAAGACGAAGAGCAGGTATTAGGCTCTCGCGAACGCAACACACGATACACATGACACACACAACAACTCGAGAATGCTGATGGTCGTGTCTGGTGGCGGAGCAGTTTCTCACAGGCGAGGTGGTGCTCAACATCTACTCCGAGTCGATCACTACGCACGGGCTCTACCTGGCCCTCGTGGGCGAGGAATGCTTCAAGGCCATCGACGCCGAATCGCTCTCCATGAACGCGGTACGTCTTCGCTGAGAGCCCACAAACGCGCACGTCCTGTCGCACACGCACTGGAAACGCAGTGATCTGACCGCTCTCGTCCAGCAGACTGAAGAGAAGAGCACGCTGGTGGAGATATACGTGCCTCTGTCGGGCAACACCGAGTGGAGTGAGCGCAAGAAGAACAAGCACATGTTCTTCCGCGGCACCTACCACTACCCCTTCCGCGTGCCCATCCCGCGCAAGACCATCGCCGGTACGCCTCCGCTGGGGGAAAAAGTCAACAGTCAAAACAAGTCAAACATGTGCTGACTCTCCTTGACTACTTCTCTCATATGTGTTGAATATGGTCTCCAGATCGTGATCTGCCGCCGTCATTCAATCGGCGGGTGAAGACGTCGAGCGGGTTCTTTCGGGTGACGTACCACGCCTACTCGGTGCTGGTGCTGTCGTTCCCGCACTCGAACATGACCTCGCGCAAGCACCCGCTCCGCTTCCGCCTCTCGGACCGCATGGAGAACCGGCTGCGGACCAAGGTCATGCGCAAGTACTCAGCGCCGATCACCGACCGCCTCACCCACAACTCGTTCAACTACATCTTCTTCCAGAAGAGCGGCAACGTCGTGTTCGAGGTCGAGCTGCAGAAGCAGTACTTCTTCATCAACGCCGAGGAGATGAAGATCGGCGTGAGCGTGGACAACTCGCACGGCCGGTTCCCGGTCCACTCGATCACGGTGGCGCTGGTCGAGGTGCTCCAGGAGCGCGGCAACGGGTTCTGCCGCGAGGTGGTCGAGCGCCGCGGCAGCCGGCGAGTCTATGGCGAGGCCGACGGCGTGCAGGTGGCCAAGGGCGAGGTCAGGCGCGACATCGAGCTCTACTACCCGGTCACCGACGCCAACGCCAAGGGTGGGAGCCTGTTCAACTGCGCCCTCTTCCAGCAGCGCTTCGCTGTGTGCGTGTCACTAAACATCTTCGGCTGTGTGGACCCGCGCATCGAAATCCCGCTCTTCGTGCTGCGGGTCCCCTCGTGAAAGCTCTTCCTTGTACCACCAACACTACCTGTACATAAAACCGTTATCATCAATCACTCCAGTCCAGAAAAGGTCGATCTGTGGAGTGCACGCTCTCGCTGCCACAGTCCGCAGCAAAAGTGGATGATGTGACTGGCACAGAAGAGGGGGTGTGAGGGGTGCACAAAAAGGATACGGCACGGTGGATTCCCGGGTGGTCGCCCACCCCAGTACTAACACCGCCTGGCGCACGCCTGGCGCAGCTTAACTTCGCTGTTCGGATGGGAAGCGGTGCTTTCTGCGCAGTATGGCCGTATCCATCAGCCTAGAGTTGGTCCGTGCAAGTAGTGTCCCATCCCCACCTCCCCTTACTTCTTCTAAGCTCTGTGCCAAGCTTGCTATATGTTTACGTGTGGTGGCGGATAAAATGGTGGTGTTTACAAGATTAGCCTCCTTCGTTATAGGGAGTCCACGCCGCCAAGCAGCTGCTTCAGCCGCCGCTCTTCGTCTCCTTCCGCCGCGAGGTCGGCCAGCAGCGAATCGATCGTCAGTCCGCGCGAAGACATCAGCGGATCAGATGACGAGTCCAGCAGCTTGCCCTGACCCGACCCATCTTCCAAGTCCTCCTCCACGACGTAGCGCCTCTTCTTGACAGGCGTGGATCTCACCTTCTTCTCCTCCGTTCTGCCCAGGTCGTCGATCACGAAGCTTCGTTCGAACGTCGTCGTCGTGTCCGTTCGTTCGTTGTCCGGCGCCCGGCGCTTGACTCCCCTACTGACGGCATTCTCGCCGGTCTCCTCCCTGTCGAGCGCCTCCGCCACCAGGAACGACCAGTCGACCAGCCCCAGGGCGCCCCTGTCCACCGGCGCTCGTGGCTTGGCCTTCTCGCGCCCGGGCACCTCCTCCTGCTCCAGCTCCTCGTCTTCTCGGGCCTCCTCGCTGGCGGCGGCGGCTGCTGCTGGAGGGCGGACCTCGGCCGCGTTTTCGTCGTCGAGCCGGAGCTTGGCAACCGGTTGCTGTTGTGCGGCGGCGGCGGCGGCGCTGACGGTCTGACGGTCCGTTTCGATCGAAGATCGGCGGTCGTCGAGCACTAAGGGCGTCGGGGGCAGGTCGAGTGGTCGTCGATGCCTGAAGCCCTGGCTGCTGCTGCTGACGGCAGCAGGCGACGCGAAACTGGCGTCGGTCGTCGCCGCAGTGGTGGCTGGCTGCGACGGCAGCGTGGCTAAGAGCGGCGACGAGGGCAGCAGCAGGACACGCATCGCCATGTCGACGTCCGGCGTGGCCTTGGGTTCTGCGATGTCGTCGATGTCGCCCAGCAGCGGTGGTGCGGTCGCCGCCGCCGCGGGTTCGATGTGCTCCGCCACCAAAAAGTCGAACACCAGCTGGAAGATGCGGTGCCACGGCAGCGGCATGAAGCCGCCCTCGTCGCCGGCCCGCTGATTGAGGTGCGTGCTGACGACCTCCTCGACCTGCTTGGCCAACAGGTAGACCCTCTGCTTGCGCTGCTGTTGCTGGTGGTGGTCTTCGTCAGCGCGGAGTCCGTCCTGCTGCGCCTGGCACACCCGATCGAGGAACTTCCAGAGCGCGAGCACGACCGACCGCTTCAACTGCGCCAGCGCCAGCGCGCGGCGGTCGCGGGTGTCGTCATTCGTCGCCGTGGCGTGGTCCACGGTCATCTCCTCCTGCTCCTGGTCGTCGTCGGCCGCCCCGCCGGTCTGGGCGCGATGGGCTGCGATGGCCTGGGCGATCTCCTCCATGAGCACGTGGCCATCCGAGTCGCGGATGGCGAGGGCGAGGACACGGGCGCGGAGGGCCTTCACGCTCTCGGCGCTGTTCCAGCCGAACGGCGGCAGCGGGGTCTCGCGCGCGCCCAGTCGCTGGGGAGGAAGCGCGAACCCCGCTGGTGGGGTAGTGTCGTCGGCTACGGTGTCCCGCTGGCCCGCGAATTGCTGCGGAGGCCACGAAACCTCCTGTAGGCGCGTGTGCAGTCACATCAGCATCATCGACAAGACACACAATACACGCACGGCACACGACACGACACGACACGACACGACACGACACGACACGACACGACACGACACGACACGACACGACACGACACGACACGAGGAGGGACTGGGTACCTGGATTTGGTCGTTGGTGAGTTCTTGCGCGGTGTAGGTGACGAGGTCGTTCCACTGCTGAATGAAGGTCACGGCCTGCGGGAACGCCGGCGAATTCACGTCCGGTCGCAACAGCGCCTCGTCCTGGCCACGTGGCCCCACATGCTGCTGTTGCTGTTGGCTCAGGCGATAGTAGTACGCGAACAGGGCCGACAGGTGGCGGTTGGCCTGGACTTCGAGCACGTCTGTGGTGTGTGTTGCGCCGGTGTGAGTCGCCAACTGAGGCTCCAGTCGCGCGGTGCGCGGACGTTGAGTCCAGTACCTTTCAAGGGGAGGGAGAGGAGGAGCGGCTGCCGGGGCGCCTTGGCGGCCAGCCACCCGAGGCCGCGGGCGAGCTGGTCGCTCGAGTAGTGGTGGTAGGCCCCGGCGGGCCGCAGCGACACGACGGCATGGTGGCCCACCAGGTGAGCGGGCAGCTGCGACAGCCGCAGGTTCTGCTCGATCTTGGGCCAGCGGCACCGAAGCCACGTCAGCACGTGTAGTGGTGTGCGTGCGTGCGGTGCGTGCGTGGTGTGTGGGGCGCACCTGGTCGACGGTCTCCTTGGAGTCGGGGTCGGTGGTGAGTACGAGCAGCGGCGAGCGGCCGTGCGGCGGTAGCGCAGCGACGAAGCTGGTCAGGCGGGCGCGCTGACCGGCCCAGTAGCTGCTGGCGTCGGGGCCGGCCATGGGCGGCAACATGAACACGAAGCCGCGACTGCCCGTGCACTCCTCGCGGATCGCCGGCGTCTTCTGCAGGAGGCGGCGTTTCAGTGAACTCGGTTTCACCATCGCCTTAAAGCGAGCACACGTGTGCGTAAGGCCGTGGTGTGCGTACCAGGGCAGAGTCGTCGACGAGGGTCACGCAGACGTGCAGCCGGGGCTTGACGTGGCGTCCGCCGGGAGCCTCGTCGTTGTCGACGTCCGTCTGGACCCCGTCCACCGTGTACAGCGAGAGCGTTTGTACTCTGTGCAGACACATATATTAAAACAGTCTCAGAATTCCATTGGGCTTGGCTGCGCCGAGGAAGGAGGGACGACGTACCCTGGCTTTTGCGGGGTGAGCGGGAGCCCGGCGCGGGTGAGCTTGGCGGTGAGCCACAGCGCCGGCGACGAGGACTCCGCGGCGACGCGCTGCGCCGAGGGCAGACTCTCGGCCGCCACAACGAGCTTCCAATAAATGTCCTGTTTCGTGCGTGTGCGGTGGTGCGTGTGCCATGTGTGCGATTGAGTACAAAATGCCGCATTGGCTGACACTCGGGAGGGGGGGCAAACGCTACCTTGGCCGCTTGGCTGTTGGGCGGCTGTTGCTTGAGATGCGAGTGCGCCAGCGGCGAGTAGACGAGCCGGGGCAGGTCGAGCGACGCCCAGTAGCCTTCGATCTGCACGTGGGCCTCCTCCCTGGCCTTGCGCAGGTAGTCGTGCAGCTGATTCGACCGCTTCTCGATCTGGTACGAGGAGAGCCTGCAGCGAGGAAAAGAAAAGAAAAAGAAAAAGAAAAAGCCTATCAGCAGCTGGCCAAGGGTCGTGATGACGCATCAAAGCAAAGCGCCAGAGAGGCGCGGGCGATGTGGTGCGGCGTACAGTGAAATGGACGAGGCGCCGAGAGTCACGGAGCTGCGATGGGACCCTCCGAGGGACAAGCCAGCGCGCTTGAGTCTCGCCTATGCGTCATCGTTGATGCCATCAGAAAACACGGTTGAGTCGGTTAGCGCCTTGAGATTTCCATTGCGTGTGTCGTGTGTCGTGTGTCGTGTGTCGTGTGTCGTGTGTCGTGTGTCGTGTGTCGTGTGTCGTGTGTCGTGTGTCGTGTACCGCGGCCGAAGGTGGCGCCGACGCCGCACTGAGCAGCCCTTCGATCTTCTGCTTGAGCTTGAGCTTCCGCTGTCTTTCCTGTTACACACAAACCACAAAGAAGCAAATTAGGAAATGACACACGCGACACACACGACACACGCGGATACCTCTTCGGTCTTGCGCTGCTGCTCCTTCTTCTCGAGGTAGGCCTTGCGCCACCGGTCCCAGAGCCAGTGGATCTGCCCCTTCTTGATCTCGCGCTTGAGGTGCTCCACCTTGGCCTCCCACTCCTCCTGCCGCTGACGTCGCAGCCGCTCCTCGCGTTCCCTCCGCTCGCGCTCCTCCTGTCGCCGCGCGGCCTCCGCGCGCTCGCGCTCGCGCCGCTCCGCCTCGGCCTCCTCGCGCGCCTGCCGGATGAGGCCCTCCTCCTCGCGCTGCCGGCGGTCCTGCAGCAGCTTGCGCCGCAGCTCGCCCTCGCGCTGCTCCTCGGCCTCCTTGGCCCGCTGACGGGTCAGTCGCTGCTCCTCTTCCAGTCGGGCCGCCGCGGCTTGCTCCTCCTGCTCCCGGGCCTTGGACTTGACGCTCACGTTCGTCACCATCAGCGGCACGCCGAACCCGCCAAAGAGCCCGCCGGCCTCCTCTGGCTCCTCCCGATCGGGCGCGACCGTGATCGAAGGCAGCGCCCCGCCGCCGGCTGCCGCTTGTTGTCGCTGCTGCTGCTGCTGCTGGTCCTTGCGCGGGCTGGCCGATCGCAGGTCCTGCAGCGAACCCCAGGGCGTGGGGTGCGGCGGCACAGGCGGCAGCTGTCCATAATAATCAAATAGAAGAAGAATAAGAATAAGAATAATTAATCAAAAAAGAAAGTAATGGCCGGAAAAAAAGGTACCTTGGCGCCCTTGATGGCCATGCCGGGCAGTTGGAGCGTGGAGGAGGACAGGCCGAAGCCGGTAAAGTCCAGCTTGGAGGACTCACGACGCCGTGACGCGCCGCCGCGCTCGGCCACGTAGACCGTCGGGACGGGCGACGCGCCGGAGATCGAGGGCACCGGCAGGCCCTCGATCAGCGCGCTGCGTACCATCTCGAGCTTGTGCTCCCGCTCGTCCTCGTCCTCGGTCTCGGTGAACACCTCCGACGCTTCTCGTGGCGCATCGTTGGTTGGTTAGTTGGTGGGAGACAGCAATAAAATAACAAGAAAAGTCAGTATTGTTGGTTTCGCCCAGACCAATCACGAGGGGCGACAGCGGCAGTGACGCATACCTCGCCGGGCCAGCGGTTCGGGTTCGGGTTCGGTGTCGGCCTCGGTGTCCTCCTCCGGCTCGGCGGTGATGAACGGAGCGACCACGGACTTGAACGGTGAAAAGGACCGAGCGATTCTGAGTCTGAAGAGAGAGGTGAGCGTCAACGCGAATCAAGCCTCGGCACAGCTTTCTCTCTTCACGTGGTGTGTGTGTGTCGTTGGTCGTGTCGAGTTGGGCGTACCCTTCTTGAGAGTTGCGCAAACTCGCGCCCATGGCGATGACCTTGGGTACGTGCTCCTCGATGTCGATCGTTTCGGCGTCCGTCTCTTCGATCGGTTCCTCCTCAAAGACCACATCTGCAGCACGACCACCAAACATAGTATAGAAAAAAAAGGCGTGAGTCGTCGACCATCAACCGGTCGCGCCGCGCGATCAAATAAATGTTGTGGGAGCAACATTTATTGTGGAGATAGAGAGATAAATAATTTGGTACACACTCTCTCGTCTCACACAGCACGGCACGCACGGCACGGCACAGTGCAGGCACGCGCAGAGATCAGAGCATCCTGTTCCACAGGTAAAGCATGGTGCGATGCCACTCCTCCCACTCCTCCTCGGTGCTAAGGAAATGCGCCCACGCACCTGCGACTTCGCCCGGCTTCTCCCCCGTGAACTTGGGACCCTCCACGATTTCGCTGATCTTGCGGCCCGCAGCCTTGGGCTCGATTAGCCGCCACGACGTGCGTATGGGCGGCCGCGCCTCCCTCGGCACTGGAGCATACCACGGCCACGTCAGCAATACACGACAACATTGCCATAGAAAATATTTGTAGAAAGAAATATATAACCAACGTATTAATACACACGGATGAGTGTACATACCGACGAGGTTTCTTTTTCCGAACACAACTGCGGTGGTGTTCTCCATGACATCGATCAGGCCGTAGAATCGGCACACCTCCTCGGCTTCCGCGTCATCCTCGAACGCCAGCGCCTTGGTGAGATCAGCGATTGGATAGGGACCCCTGTGGATGTAACGGTCACGTATCACACACACACACACACACACACACACGATTGTAAGTAAACCGTCATGATGGTTATGTGGAAATGGGGGACGCAAAGTGTTGGTCGTAGTACTTGAAGGCCCGGTTCATGATCTGGAGTGCCCTCTGCCGGATGGAGTTGAAGTAGAGGTGCAGCACACAGCTCTGCAGGTAGGTGGCCTCCCGCACGGCCTTGAAGAAGCGGTACCAGTCGTCCGCCTTGACCGCTTCCCACACCTGGACCACGCCGCTTGTGTGTCAGCAGACCACTCTCCCATAGTTGACCGCGGTAAAGTGGCCGCGGACAACAGTAGGTACCTTGATGGCGAACTGCATCTCGGGCGTTGAGTAGATGTCGGGCCGCACGTCGTAGTAGGGCGGCGTGGGCGAGGAGAGGTCCAGCAACACATAGTAGGCACGCATTTCGGCTTCGTTGGGGCAAAGGACACCCTTCTTGTACAGGTCAGAGTCTGCGGTGTGTTTTGTGTGCGTGCGTGCGTGCGTGTGCGTGCGTGCGTGCGTGCGTGTGCGTGTGTGGTGGAGAGGGAGGCAAAGAGAACCAATACAGGTCACGACACATGTGCATACAGAGGAGCGAAGAAGAAGCAAGACTGCAGAGTGGAGCAGTACACATGTCCTTCAAGCTGACGAGGGTCTTGTCGATCTGCTCCTGGTTCTGGAAGGCATCGAAAGTAGCCCTGTCCTGTTCCGCCAGCCGATGTCCGGCCACGATATCTGCACACACCGGTGCGCGTGTGTTAGTATGGCCCTCATGAGCGCGCGCACACACGCACACACACACACACACGCACACACGTTCGGGTGCACGTACAGAAGCGGACGATCTTCTCCGACATGTAGACGCCGACAGGATTGAACACCTTCTGGATCGAGATCTCCTGGCGAATGGCTCGCGTTCGATCCCTGTTGGACGTGCACGATTAGTGCGCGCTGGAGTAGTTAGTCGCCCACGAGCTTGGCCTGCGCCAAGGCAGTAGGGTGAGGTACCTCACGAAGGCGTAGACGTCGTGGAACGGGTGGTCCGTTCTGTCCATGATTTCCAGGCACAGGTACTCCATCACGCGGTGCAGAACCTAACCGCCGGGGCACACAGAGACGTTGAGTAGGCAGAGAAGAAGAAGAAGAAGAAGGGCGGTTAGTTACTTACCGGTGGTGGTCGGATCTCGTCGGCGGTGAAGGTTTCGCCGCGCTGGAGGTTGACGGAGGGTCGCTTGAATCGCCGGACGGCCTTGTTGTAGTCCACCCTCGGGACGGAGTCGTCTTCGGTGCCGCTCACCATCTCGAAAACGCTCAGCGCACTGCTGCCCTCCCGCTCGTCACTAGTATATACGTAGTGGGGTCGGAGGCGTTATTAGATGAATGGCACCGGTGAACGACCAACCGACCAACGACCGCTCGCCGAGTGAGGTGAAAACGCACCTCTCGGCTCTGGAGCACATCGTTTGAATGGTGCCGATGGTCACATCGTCCACGGGAACGAAGACCCACATGTCATCCTCAGTGAACCGTGGCCGGGCGCCGGTGGGTAGACGGCGCGCTGCGATCACCACACACACACACGTGCAATTACGTTAGCAAAGCACGTTGTGGATTCGACTGCTTGCTGTGCAAGGCGCAGCGTACTCGAAGACACCAGTCGTGGTCGCGACACCCGCCTGGGCATGGGTGAAATGGCTCTGGGGATCGGCGCGGCAACGGCCACCGTGCTCGCCGAGCGGGCTGTCGAGGGAGCCGAAGCAGCCGTGAAGGCGGCAATGCCCCCTCGCGCCGCCGGAACCGATCGGCCTCCTCGCGCCGCGGCGGCCGCGGCCGGCGGCTTGGCCTGAAGGGGCGCGACTCCGCCACGCCGCGACGAAGCTGCTGGAGCGATGGATATGGGCGGGATGCTGGGCTCGTCTTCCTCGTCCTCTTCGTCCGGCTCGTACTGGTCATCTTCCTCGTCGCCATCGTCGTCGGCGATCTCATCTTCACCTTCATCTCCCTCTTGATCAGCTCCTTCGTCATCTTCATCTTCCTCGTCGGCCTCCTCCTCTTCTTCTTCATTGTTGTCGTCGTCATCTCCGCCAGCCGAGAGACCGAACACGGCACCGCCCCAGGCAGCCGGCTTGCTCGGCGCCACCTCGTCGTCCTCGTCCTCGTCTTCGTCATCGCCCAAACCGCTGTCCATGTCTCCGCCGCCTCGTGCGCGAAAGCCAAACACGCTTCCGCCCGCAGCGGCCGACGCCGGCTTCTTGTGCTGCTGCTGCTGCGTTCGTCTCTGGTTGAAGTCGACGGAAAACTGCAACGGCGCGCCCTCGTCCTCTGCCTCGTTCATCTCCCCTTCGTCCGCGTCGCCTTGCTGTTGCTCGTCGTCGAGGCCAGGCCTGGTCCAGGTGAGGTTGCGGCCTCCGCGACCGCCACCAGCGGCTCCGCGACCGCGGTAGGAGCCGCCTCGCTGGTCAGTGCTGCCACCACGAGCCGCACCGCGACCTCGGTAGGTAGTCCCTCTTCCACCACCGCCAGCGCCGCCATCGCCGCTGTCGTACGACCCTCGACCACGGCCTCTGTAGGTGCTGCCACCGCGTCCCTGATACGAAGTGGCGGCGTAGCCGCTGCCGTCGTCGTCGTTGCTGCTGCTGCCTCCGCGGCCACGTCCGCCTCGTCCTCCCCGCTGCGACTGAGACACGCTGCCACCGTAGCCGCTGCTGTAGGACCCGTCGTCCCTGCCCGCGGGGGCGTCATAGTAGTCATCGCTGCCGCGACCGCGGCCTCCTCGGCCTCCTCCTCGATAGCTCGTGCCGCCCCGGCCTCGGTAGTTGGACGAGTACCCGTCGCCGTTGTCGTAGGAATCACCGGTGGTCGTCGACCAGGCCTGGTCGCCGCCGCCCGTGCTGGTGCTGCGTGATCGGCCGCCGCGTCCGCCACGAGTGGCGCCCGCGCCGCTGGGGCCGCTTCGCCACGATCCGCTGCCGCTGCTGTCCGCACTTGCGTCGTCGTAGGACATGTCGCTGCCGCCGTACTGCTGTGTGCTTGCGCCCCGGCCTCGGGCGCCGCGACCTCGGCCGCCTCGACCCCCACGGTAGTTGCCGCCACCTCCAGCGTCGGCGCTATCGTTATAATCCATGCCCTCGGCACTGCCCCCTCGTGCTCCCCATGAGCTGCTGCCGCCGCGACCGCGGCCCCCACGAGGAGGTGATGAAAATCGGGATCGGCCGCTGGATGATGAATCGTCAGACGCTGCCGCGGCACTGCTGAAGGAGGAATAATTGTCTCCTCCGCCCTGGTAAGAGCTGCTTCCGCCACGACCGCCCCGCGAGCCTCCTCGGCCGCGCGATGAAAATTGGCTCCCTCCTCTGGCGGATTGGCCTCGGCCTCGCGATCCACCCCTGGCCGATTGACCTCCGCCCCCATCTAGCGCCGCAAAGACCGACGATGAGCCGTCGCTGAGGTCCATCGTGACCCCTCTTCTCGCGAAGCCAATTCCTTGCTTTCGCGCCTTTCTTCTGCCCTTTTTATTTACTTTTTCTCTTTCCGTGTTGTTCATTTCCAAGCCTAAAAAATTCAAGGAATGAGAGGTCCTGAAATCTGGTGGAAAATCACGGCAGAAATGGTGTGGGAGTTGGTGAAAGCGCACGCTCAGTCTGTGTTGTGATTGGCCAAAGGAGAGGGAAGAAGGGAGCAAAAAAGAATGAAACCAGCAAAGAGTATTGCATCACACACAGCCAAACTCGAACCAACCTTCACTCCCACCCACGCCAGACATGACTCAAACTACGCCCGAGAATGCCGCCTGGAAGGAATTTCTCCTTTCTACACGCAGCGGCGACCTGGTACGCTCCCCCCCCAAACACTGTGCCGCTACCCCCCCCCAACCACTGTGCAAGTGGCTGCAGAAGACGTGTAGGGCGGAACGAACACTCACAGTGTGAGGGCGTGCAGGTCCCTGCCGACTTCAAGCTCATTTTTGTGCCCTCTACCGCGGTCATACCCGAAGTCATCAAGGTTGGTGGTCCCTCCCTTGCAAAGCCTTTTTCAGCTTTTGGGGGCTTGTCACCAGAGCTGCCTATCATGTGGTTGTCTATGCTCACTTCCCTTGGGTTGTACGCATAGGTGTTGGTGAAGAACAACATTTCGTCCGTGCCTGTGATGGACGTGGAGACCAACCAGTTCTCTGGCCTTATCGACATGATCGGTACCGCTCTTGTTTTCTTTTTTCCCTCCTCGGCTGCTTGAAGAAATGTAAGCGCAGGGCTCACGCCGCTCCTCGCAGATCTGCTCACGCTGGTCGTCGCCACCGCGGAGGCCAAGGAGCTGGTCGACGTCTTGTGCCGAAACCAGGTCGACTGGGAAACCTTCATCCAGACCGAGCTGCAGGTCTTCAGGGACCAGACCATCGCCGACATGACCAGTACGTGTCCCACCACGCCTCAGGGAACTAGTCAAAACCTCGCTACCGAGCTCTCAGCTAACGCGCGCCTCGCCCTGCGCAGACATCTCTGAGCGCAATCCCTGGGCGCCCGTGTGGGAGGGCTTCCCGCTCTCGTCGCTCCTCGACATGTTCTCCAAGAACGTCAACCTGCACCGCGTCCCGATCATCGACGGGGTACGCAAGCGCCTCAGCAGCTCTCATCAGCCTCATGAAGACTTATCAGCGTGTGCCCTCTCGAATCGCAGGACGGTAATGTGGTGGGCCTGGTGTCTCAGTCGCGCGTGCTGGAGTTCCTCCACAAGAACATCGACAAGTTCCCGGACGCCGATATCACGGTGGACTCGTTCTGGAAGCCCGGCCACCAGCCGCTGGTCTCGGTGCCGATCCAGGAGGACGCCATCGTGGCCTTCAAGCAGATGTTCGACTTTGTACGTACTCACCTTAATGTGGCACTTCGTCAAGACGCCACCTTAATGTGGTCTTGCGTTGCCATCACTCACTGACCAACCATCATCGATGTCATCATCATCATCTTTTTCTTCTTCTTGTAGAGGGTGTCGGGCTTGCCGGTGGTGGACTCGGACAACAAGATTGTGGGCTCGATCAGCGCGAGCGACCTGAAGGGCTCGACGGAGGAGACCCTCTTCTCGGACGTGAAGCGACCGCTCAAGGACTACCTGGCCAACTGCAGCCGCTACTTCAAGCGCGACCCGAGCAGCAAGCCCATCACGTGCACCATCAACGACACGCTCAAGGGGGTGATGGCCAAGCTCATCGAGCACCGCATCCACCGCATCTTCATCACCGACGACGACAACACGCTCGAGGGCGTGCTCAGCCTGTGCGACGTCATCTCCGTCCTCAGCGGGCCGTGAACGAACCCCACAACTTTCTCCCACCTCTCTTCAACTCTTCTTCTTCTTCTTCAACTACTCCTTGTGATCTCTTTGAACATAAACAACAATGTGCGAGCAGAGCGGAGTAGGAGATGCGACATCTTCAGCCTCGGCTGTCTCGTTCAACTCCAACACTCCAACACTCCGCCTCGGCGCCAAGACGCAAACCACCAATTTCAAGGAATGCATTTCAGTTGTGTTGATCCCTGGGGCTGTTGATTGGGAGGCCAACGCAAAAGAGATCATTACGTGCTCTTGTGAACACGGTGAGAGGCAAGAACTCAATCGATCATCATTTGCGCTACTTGAAGATGATGGAGGGGAAGATGAATAGCATGCGAGATTGTGAGGAGGGAGGCAGCTGTGGAGATGAAGGGACGATCTGGGCGAGTCTGCCGCCCGAGCTGTGGTGCGAGATCTTGCAGTGGGTGGGCACGAAGGACGGGCTGACGGTGGCCTCGCTCGTGTGCCGCCGGTGGCGCCTCCTCTTCATGTCCCGCGGCCTCCTGCGCTTCCACTTCATCTGTCCCGCCCTCCTGCTCCACCAGCGCTCGTCGTCATCTTCGAGCACCGGCGCTGGTCACGACGCCGCTTCGAAGCAGCTCGAGCAGAGCTTTCGAGCGCTCCTCCTCAAGTTCAGACGCGAGTGCTCAGCCCTCGCATCCATCTCCTTCTCCCCCAACCACTCTTCATCATTTTCATCTCCATCTTCTTCTTCGAGCTCGCCAGCGCCGGCGTCGTCGATGGGCAACCCGTGGGTCACGGACGACCTCCTGCGGACCTGCTTCGGCGGGGACGACGGCGGCTTCCGATCGCTCACAGAGCTCGACCTCACCAACTGCCGCCTCGTGTCGGCCGCCTCGCTCGGCTGCCTCCCGCCCTCGCTCCTGCGCCTCAACCTGCGCGGCTGCCGCAACATCGTCGCCCACGCCCACGCGCCCTCGGCCTCGGCTTCGCCTCTCTTCACAGCGTCGCCGGAGGCGTTGGGGCTGCCGCCGCTGGTCGCCGAGTACCCGGCCCGCGACGCCGACGCGCCGTCGATGGTCATCCTCGACTTCTCTTCGGTCCCGTCATCGCTGCACGCGGCGGCGCCCACGACGGCCGAGGCCGAGTCTGTCGATGACGGCGGCAGCGATGGGCGACGGCGGCAGCGGCCCGGGCTCCCGCCGGGGCTGCAGGTGCTGTCGTTTGCGTACTGCTGGCGACTGAGCGACGCGATGCTGGCGCCCGACCACCTCCCGACGGCCTCGCTTCGCCATCTCTCTCTCCGCGATTGCAAGAGCCTCACAGGTCTCTTTCTCTCCACATCCCCACGTGTGCGGTAGGCGTGTGCGGTGGGCGTGTGCGGTGCTACACTCACCGTGGAGCGCGGTTGCACACACACAACACACACACACACACACGCACACACGACAGAAACGGGAATGTACCACTTGTCGGCGCTCACTGGGCTCGAGGTGCTGGACCTGTCCAACTGCACGCGCGCCGTCACCGACGCCGTGCTGGCCTCGGTTCTGCCCGCCCTGTCCCGCCTGCGCGAGCTCAACCTGTCGCAGTGCAAGGAGGTCAGCGCCGAGGGCCTGCGCCACCTGCCCCAGCGATCGCTGATCGCGCTCGACCTGGTCTTCTGCAAGAAGCTGCGGCCCGACGCGCTCGACTTCATGCCGCCCGGGCTGCGCCACCTGAACCTGGCCTACTGCTTCTTCCTCAAGAACAAGGGCGGGGCGGCCCTGGCCTTCCCGCCGGCGCTGCGGCGGCTCAACCTGACCGGCTGCGAGCTTCTCACCGACGGCGCCCTGCGCGACGTGGCCGCCGCCGTGCCACGCCTGCGCCATCTGAACCTGGCCGAGTGCTATCGTATCAGCGACGTCGGTATGTCGTGTGTGTCGTGTGTGTCGTGTGCGTGTCGTGTGTGTGTGTGTGTGTGTGCGTGTCTGACCTTGCGTATGGCGCAGGACTGAGCTATCTGAGCGGCTGCGGCCGGCTGGAGAGCCTGGACATCAGCTACTGCTCGGCCATCTCCGACGTCGGCGTGCTGTCGCTGCTCCCCGCGTCGCTGCACACGCTCACGCTGCGCAGCCTCTTCGAGAACAACCTCTTCAAGGACGGCAGCGTACAGAGTACCACCGCAGAGGGCGTGGGGCTCAAGGGCGTGCAGAAGATCACGCACTCCATCACTGCCGAGGTAAGCCTACGTCTTGATATATCGTAGTTCTTCTTCTTCTTCTTCTCTATCTTTACAATTCAATGATTGTTCTTCTTTCGCTGCGTGCAGGCGATTGAAGCGCTCGGCCAGCGGATCAACGTGGTGGTGACCAGCCGAGCATCAGCACAGAAGGCGGACTACCAGTTGACGCAGGACGTCTGAGTTTAGAAGAAAAACACGGATCGCTCGAGTAGCCAGCCCCTTCGTCGTCGTCTCTCTCTCCCTCAGCTGCTGGCCGGTTGGATCATGCGCAGGCACAGCTGCCACAGCTCTTCGACCTCCTCGGGCGATGAGTGCGTGCGGCTGGTGGGGATGAACGGCGACGCCACCTCCCGGTCGAAGAAGAACTTGCCGTTGTACTCGTCGTAGTCCTTGGCTTTGGCCTTGCCCTTGGCCTTGCGCTCGTCGTCATCACCGCTCGTGGCCGCCGTCATGACGGCGTCGGAGATGACGAGCCAGTTGATGGTGTCGGCGCCCTCGTCCATCGAGCGCAGGGAGTCCTTGAACTTGGCGTGGAAGCCCGGCAGCGAGGTCTGCACGCCCGGAGTGTCGGCCCAGCCCGGGTGCATCGCGAAGAACCGCACGCCTCGATGCCCCTCCCGCTTGGCGAACTCCTCCGTCAGGTAGATCTCTTGCCTCTGTGTGTCCCATTCGTCAGTCGCGATCCCGTGTGTTGTGTGTCGTGTGTCGTGTGCGTGTGCGTGTGCGGTCGTGCGTGCTGTGTGGTGTGTGCCGCACGCGAAGCATTGGACGCACCTTGGTCTGGGAGTAGGCGCGGGAGCCGTCCCACTTGCCCCGGGTGAATTGGGGGTCGGAGAGGTCCATCTTCTGTGTGAGCGCGCCGCCCGAGGACACGATGATGACCCGCGACGGCGCTGACTTCTCCAGCGTTGGCAGCATCAAATTGGTCAGCAGAAACGGCCCTGTCAACGCGATGGCCATGATGAGTGGTCAGCAGCGCTGGACAGAAGGCCCACTTGATGTGGAGGAGCGCGCTCACCGAGCATGTTGGTGGCAAAGGTGGTCTCGATGCCCTCGCTGGTCTCGCTCCTCTCGGAGAGCAGCACGCCGGCGTTGTTGATGAGCACATCGCAACGCTCACCACTGTCTTCGAAGCTGTGGCACACAGCAGATAAGCGAAACACACACACGTACCACACACACACACACACCACACACACCACACACACACACACACATGTGCGCGTGCGGGTGAGAGTGGGCACTTGTGCGGGTGAGTGAGTATGAGTGAGTGGTCAAGTCGCGAACCGTTTGGCGAAGGAGCGGATGGAGGACTGGAGGGAGATGTCGACGACCTCGAGGTGGACGTCCTCGTTGCCCGTTTCTTTGATGATCTCCTTACGTGCCTGCACACGCACGAACGAGTGCTTTAGGGCGCAATAACACACGCACACAACACGCACGCACGCACGCCGGTGTATGCAACACGCACACGCAGGTGTGCAACACGTGTGTCTCGCGCACCTCTTCTCCTCGTTCCTGGTTGCGGCAGAGCATGTAGACCTTGCCGCCCTTCCGGGCCAGCGTCGTGGCGGTGCTCTTGCCCAGCCCGCTGTTGGCACCAGTGACGAGGAACACTTTGCCGGAGAGGTCCTTGTCGAGCTCGTGTGGGTCCCAGCCCCTGGCGAGCAAACAGGTAAGAACTCTAAAAAAATATGTAAATATAAAACATATCATGTAGTACGTACTGTTGCTTGGCAAGGAAGCCTTCCTTCATGTAGTGCCTGTAGCCCTGGGCAAACCACACGGTCGCCCTCCAACTGTCCATCATCCACTGCATTTTGTGTAGTATGTGGTTCTGCTGCTGTTGTGTGCGCTTAGGTTCCTTTGTGTATATGAAGGTCACTAGCGACACGGCATAAGGCTCTCGTCACGGCCTCACGATGACTAACCCACTACGCCAGTCTGTCTTCAAGAAAGAGAAAAAAAGAAATCACATCAATCCTCGAAATTTCGTCTGTCGTGCAAGTCCGGAATTCCAATAATGAAAGTAAAATTAAAAAATAAACAAATTTTGGGGAACATTGATATCTTGGCGAGGTGCCGGGCGGAGAGGCCCTGCTGATGTACACCGGCGGTAAACTTTCCTCCTTGCCTTCCTTCCCGTTCGGGGTTCTCTCCGCCCTGGCGCTCCGCCTCGAGTCCACGCACACAACACGGCCCCTTGGGTGAGGGTTGCGGGAGCATGTTGTTTGTTGATGACGATGATGACGACGATGGCTGCCGAGCGCTGTTCAGTCCTCCTCGACGATGCCGCCGTAGCTGAGCTCCTCATCGCCCGCCGCACTCGACTCGAACTCCTCGCTCGACTCCTCGGATGAATCATCGTCCGACGAATCGTCGTCATCGGAATCAGACGAGTCGGACGAGTCCGATGAGTCGTCCGAGTTGGCCGACCTAGACACGACGGGCGGCAGTGGTGGCGGCGAGGGGTTCTCACGTTCGAGCTTGGCAGAGAGTTCCTTGAGGTCCTGCAGGATGTCCCTGAAGGTGGGCCTCTTCTCGGGGTAAAACTGAGCGCAGTTGACGATGAGGTCCATCAGTTCGGGCGGCGTGTCCGGCGGCGCGCGGGTCTTGAGCTCCTTGACCTCGAAGGCGTAGGCCCGGCCGGCCTGTCTCCGCGGCGGCTTGCGACGGGTGACGAGCTCGCACAGGACCATGCCGTAGGAGAAGACGTCGGCCCGCGTGTCGTACTTCTCGCCCAGCCCAACCTCGGGCGCCATCCACTCGTCGGTACCGCACATCGTGAGGAAGTCGGCCTTGGGTTCCGCCTTGCGCGCAAAGCCAAAGTCGCACACCTTGATCTTCCAGTCCTCGCACACCTACGGCGTACAGCATACAGCATCCCCAACAGCACGACACACGCACACACAACACAGGCGAACACCACACGTTGGTGAGAAAGTTGCACCACGGGGCCTCTTGTTTAAGAGCTTGTAGGCGTGGCTGTGGTTTGCGTTGCATGTGCCAAGTGTGAAGGAGTGGTGGTGTCGGACACAAAGCCAAGCCAGGCGCGGGGGAGGGCCAAGCGTACCAGCAGATTCTGAGACTTGAGGTCTCTGTGAATCATCTTCTTGGAGTGGAGGTAGTTCATGGCGTAGGCCACATCGATTGCGATCTTGACCCGCAGAAGCCAGCTCAGTTCGAGGCTGTCATCCTTGAGTTTGGATCGCAAGTCTCCGCCGGGGATGAACTCGGTCACTATGTAGATGCCCGTGTCGTCCTTGCATAGCCCAAGCAGCTGCACGATGTTTGGATGACGAAGGCCCCTGTTGGAGAAGAAAATAGAATCAATTATTCATAAATCAATAAAAAGCTGCAAGACGGAGGTGGATTCAACGCTGCGGGAGGGGGGGGGGTGCTGTGGGTTTCTTACTTGAGGGTAGCCATCTCTCGCTCGATATACTTCTGCATGTCCTCGTCATCGACGTAGTACAGCTGTTTGATCGCGACCTCCGTTCCGACATAGACGCCCTTGAACACTTTGCCGAAATTGCCCTTACCGATGGTCTTCAGTGTCTGCAAGTCTGAGAACTGGATGTTCCATCCATCATCTGCCATTCTCCTTTCCTTCCTTTTCTACAGTCGATTCTTCAATTGGCCCCTTCTCGTCCTGGAAGGTGATGCTAATTACAATAAAGAGAAAAAGAAGATGGCTTACTCTCGTATATCTACTTCCTCTTCTCCAGGCGTTCTGTATCTCGTAAAAGATGTGGTCTGCCCTCGAGATTAGGCCCGTCGGGGCAGTGAGAAACCCCACTTTTCTCTTGACGCGCCTCCGTCCAATCGGCAATCAAACGCAAGCCAGACCGTTGCCCCTCAACCCGTCGGCCCAAGCAAGCGCATCAAGACCACACCCAACTGGTAAAGTTGTTGTTCCTCTCTTCCTTCTTGCGCTCCTTCACCCAAGGAGCCCCAGCCAACTGACTCCTCTCACGTGTTGTGTTTCTTCTCTTCTCTCTGTTTTGTTACATTCCCATCTTTACGCTGCAGCATGCACAGACTCGGGCTTAGGCCTGGGCGTCGAAGAGGGAGGCGGGGAAGTCGGGGAGGGGGTGGGTCCGCTTGACGCCGTGCTTGATGCTGTCGAGGAACTCGCCCATGGCCTTGGGGGTGAAGGCGCCGCGGAACGGGGCGTAGCCCTTCTTCTTGGGGCTGGCGACGGCGAAGGTGGGCAGGTCGAAGGCGAGGTCGAGCGTGCGGCGGAAGCCGGTGGCCTTGGCGCCATCGACCCACATCACGAGGAAGGCGTCGCCGGCCTCGCGCTCGGCGGCCAGGGCCTCGAGGGCCTTGACCGCCTTGTCGTGCTCCTCCTCGTCCTGCTCCTTGGACGGCACAAAGCCGATGGCGCAGATGCGGCGCTGCTCCACGCAGTACTTGGTGTAGTCAGCGTCGCTCTCGAGCGCGTACAGCTTCTGCTCCAGCGGGACCGGAGTGGGCTCGGCCTGCGTGTGTGGAGCAGGAGATGCAGTGAGTGGTCCTGCGTCGAGCACGCGTTGACTCAAGGGAGTGCGGGGTACCTTGGCCTCGGCCTTCTCGGACTTGGCGCCCTTGCTGGCCTTGGCGGACTTGGGCGCGAAGGTCGCGAGGAAGGAATCGAGCTGCCGGTAGCCGAGTTCGCCTTCGTACTTGGTCACGGTCTGCTCCTCGTCGTTCTTCACCACGAGAAGGGTCGGGAACGACTCCACGCCGTACTTCTCGGCTGCAGACGCAACGCACCACGACGAAGAGGTAATCCCGATCAGCACACACCACAACACGGCAGGGCCGAGCACAGAGCGGAATGGGAGAGAATGTGCGAGTGTACCGAGCGAGGTCTCCTTGTCGAGGATCTCGGCAAAGGCGAGCTTGCCCTTGAACTCCATGGAGAGGGCCATGTAGAGGTGGCTCGACTTGGGCTTGGAGGTGAAGAGGAGGACCTTGGGGAGCTCCTTGTCGGCCAGGAAGCCCTCGGCGCTCTTGGCCGTCAGCTTCTTGATGTTCTTGGCGTCGAGCTTGGCCAACACGGCGTCGACGATGGGCTTGGCCGTTCGCGGACCTTGGTAGTCCGTGGGGGCCTTCTGGCCCGGCGTGAACAGCTTGAGCGTAGGGAATCCTATGAACGACTACAACGTTAGAAAAGAAGAAGAAGAAGAACTACACAGAGGCAGCACAGGGGCACACGTGTGCTATCGTCAGGCACAGTGGGATGACATGTGGGTACCCTTGACGTCGTAGCGACCGCAGAGAGGCCTGTTGGAGGCGTCGTCGCAGTCAATGGCCACGATATTGACCATGCCCTTGGTAGCGGCGGCAGCCTTCTTGTACTCGGGAGCCAGGTTCTTGCAGTGTCCACCTGCACAGGACACGAACCGAGCGTTAAAAAGGCTCAATAAAGGCTTGGCTCCCTGGCGCATCTGGCTGTGTAATCTGTGATTTGCGGATGAGATGGTGAACGTACACCAGGGGGCGAAGAACTCAACGATGGAAGGACGATTGCTCTGGAGAACGAGCGCATTGAAGGTGGCATCAGTGGCGAGGATGACGCCGTCCTTGGGCGAGTAGAGGGCATCGGCAGAATGCACAGCAACCCCCAGCACAAAGAGGCACCCAAGCAACACCAACATCACAGATGAGCCCTTCATCTTTCACACTGCGCGCTCTGCCCGGCTTTGTTCGTTTGTGTTCAGATCAATCAAAAGAAAAGCCACAAAAATAAATCGACCAAAATGGCTCGCCACGGGTCAGCCGCCCATTGGTCCACTCGTGCCAATCGAAATTCAAACCTTTTGATTTATGCGTTGGCCGTTGCTGCTGGTGGCGAACGCACGCGTCGCTTGTGCAGTTTGTACTTTTCAGGCGTGGGCTTGTACTGGATGGCCATCTGCACGTTCTGCTCCTCGGCTTGGCGAATGGCTTCGACCATTGACATATCGGCCTCTCGATAGAAGCACGTCACTGCACGCCATGCGCCAGCGTGAGCACCACGCAGTAAACAAGATGAAAAGAAAAGAGGTGTACCTTCGCCACTCCTTCCGCCTCGTCCGGTCCTGCCGACACGGTGAATGTGGTCGACCAGGCTCTGCGCAAAGTGGAACTGCACGACGTGCTCCACGTCGACGAAGTCGATGCCGCGCGAGGCCAGATTGGTGGACACCATCACGTCCACCTTGCCTGCCAGAAAATCTCTCAGATTCCTGTCAGCCTCTCCCTGCGGCATCTCCCTGCACTCATCGCGCCACACATGTGCCCTCATGGGTCAGCGACCACGCCCAGCTGTGCGTAGGCAAGACGACACACCTGTGGAAGGGAACGATGCTCGTGACGCCTCTTCGCACCAGCTCCTCGTGCAGATCGTCAACGGCCAGCGTCGAGTTGACGAAGATGAGGGTAGGCCTCGGCTTGGCCATCTCGCGGTTCCTCTCTCCATTGTCCGCCACCTCCGCCGCCACCAGGCGCTCGTCGTCGCTTTCCTTCGCCTGACGTTCGCCCGCTTGTGCTTGTCGAGGCGTGGCGTCGTCGTCTTGTCTCGGCTGCTGCTGATGATGCGGGAGCTCGGCGTGGGATGAGAGGTGGGGCTCTCCCACGCGCAGACCACTCTTGGATCGGAGGAGGTCCACCAGGGTCTGCACGCGATCCTCCACCTCCTCGGGGAGCGGCAGGAAGCTGAGGGCGACGTTGGGCAGGCTGCGGTGGAAGTGGTGCGTGTAAACCTGGCGCACGTGCTTAAAATGCTTCTGCAGGTAAATGGACAGCGACTTGCTCTTGTCCTGTCGCACATCATACGAAGAAGTGATCATCGTGAGCCGGCAAGGCTTCAACAGCACAGACGGCCGTGGTGACGAGGTGAATGTATAACAGAGAGGAGAGTCTACCTGGAGGGGTATGGTGGCTGCGACGAAGATGAATTGCACCTTCCTCTTTCGTACGATGGAGACGTTTTTGTCGCCGTAGAGCTCGTCAGCGAGCTCCGCACTGGCAGAAGTCGCGACTTTGCCCTTGCCCTTCCGCTCTCGCCTCGTTTCGCGCTTGAAGAAGTCCAAGATCTGTGCGGCCTGCCAGCGACGAGGTCGTAGTCGCATAGGCGCTCCCCAGATGAGAAGGAAGAAGAAGAAGAAGAAGAAGCAGAAGCTGACGAGTGCTCGTACCTGGTCGTGGTAAACAGGGGAGAGCATGAGGTCAGCCTCATCTACGATAATGTGGCGCACCCAGTGCAGCATGTCATCGTTAAGGCTCTTCGCCAGACCGTTCGGGGTGGTGAGCAGGATGTCGGGCCGCTTGGCAGGAAGTTCGGTCCCTGTTTCGTGCATTGCACGGAACAGCGAAGAGAGTTTAGCGCCTCACTCACACCGAAGCGTCGAAGCTCAGATCTGAGCAAGAGCACATTGCGGGTCGTGAAGAGTGTGAGTGCACTGGAACGAACCGTTGATAGCCTTGACGGTGAGGATCGGAGGCACCACCTTCTTACAAACCGAAAGAACCTGTTCGCACAGCTCCTTGTTCGGCAGCAGCACGATGGCCGAGGGGTACTTGTTCGACGCCTCAATCCTGACAGTACACAGACAGAGCCCAGTGTAAGTGTGTCGTGTCGTGTGCATGAAGGCAGCATGATGGTGGGACACCTTGGTGGAGGCTGCTGGCTCAGGGCGTGAATGACCGGCAGGAGGTAGGCCAGCGTCTTCCCGCTGCCGGTCTCGGCGCCTAGCACTACGTCCTCACCGGTCAGCACAGCCGGCAGGGCCTGCGCCACAAGATGATTTAAAAGATATAAATGAAAAAAGATGAACGCAGTGCATGCGAAAGCAGGAGGGGTGTACGAGTGATTGAATGGGGCTAGGTTGGTGGATGTTGAAGTGGGTGTGCAAGGCGGCGACTGTCTTGGGGTGCAGCCCAAATTCTTGGAAGCCACCAGCGGGTGGGGGTTCGGAGTGGGATGGGGCAGAGGGAGTGCCGCTGCTTGTGTGGTTGTGTCGAATGGACAAGGCTGGCAGGAAGTTCCATCTACGCTGCGGCAAGCTCTTGGTGGCCAGGGTAGACGAAGAGAAGATTGAGATTATTGCTGATTGCGGAGTGATTTGTGGCCGAAGTCCCGCACTTCGAGCAGCAGCGCCGCCAGTGGCATTGGTGAGCGACCGCCTGTTTCCTCCATGAAGGAGCTGCCCCACCCTCCTCATCTTGCTATTGTCTGAAAAGAAAAGGGCAACCGCTTCCGGCTGAAAGGCCAAAACTCACTTTATTCACCAGTTTTGGCTTGGTGGAATCTCAGGCGTTGCATTTGTCATCATCATCATCAGGCGAGACGTATGCCGCCAGAGCCGGTGAGGGTCTGTGCAATGACCCTGCCCGTGATCTGGCCGTTCTCCAGCGTCACCTGCGAGTCCACAGCCAACAGATTGGCCTCGAGACCGAAGCCGCGCAGGGTCACGCGTGGCGCCTCGCACACCACAAACGTGATGCGCCCACCCGACACTCCGCCGTTGTTGATCCCGAAGTTCGACAGGCTCACGCCGCTCACTTGACCGCCCATCACGGCCACCACGATGCTCTCCACAGCTGACGGCTGCGTGAAGACGAACCTGGCCGACGACGCCTGGTTGAGGTCTGCCGCCTGAGCGACGAACGACTGCTGCGGGCCGCTCGCGGCGGCGCCTTGGAAGGTTTTCTCGCGCCACGGCGACACCGTCGCAGCGGCGCCTCCGCCAGAGCACACGGCGTCAGCCGTCGCTTGCGCGCGAGTGGCCTCGGCCATGAAATCCAGACCGGTGAGGCTGAACACGTCGCCGCGCACGACCCCATTGTTGCCGCTGTTGAACACGGGCAGGGCCGTCACGCGTGCGCTCGGCTCGGCCACCAGGTTGCCGCACTGGAGGCCGCCCTGGAAGTTGATCCTCGAGTCGGCACCGGCGACCACGAGGGCCGCCGTCGAGGCGTCGCAGGGCACCACGCGCGAGCCCATGCCGAATCCGAGAGCGCGCAGGCCACCGTTGACAGCCACGCGACCTTCGACTTGTCCGTTGGACATGTCGAAGGCCAACTCCACGTTAGGCCGCCCGACGAGCAGCACGTTGTAGGCCGACGCCACAGATCGGGCTGCTCGAGGGCGATGCGCTAATTGAGGGTGTGGGCGGGCGACTTGAAGGTGTGGGCGAGGCAGAGCTCGAGGGTGAAGCCGAAGGGGAGGGCGTCAGGCTGGCGGAAGGCGTCGGCGAGACCGAGCTCGACGGTGAAGCTGAAGGCGAAGGTGTGTTGGACGGCGACGGCGACGCGCTAGTCGATGGGCTGCTTGACGGCGAGGCAGAGGGCGAAGAGGAAGCCGTCGGGCTGGTCGAAGGTGACGGAGTGTTAGAGGGCGTCGGGGTGTTGGACGGCGACGGCGTGTTGGAGAGGAGTGTTGGACGGCGTGGGCGTGTTGGACGGCGTCGGAGATGTCGAGGGCGAAGTGCTGATGGAAGGCGACGGACTGCTCGACGGCGTGCGTGAAGGACTCGACGTGGGCGTCGGGCTGGGCGGGCATTCGCACTGGCACGTCTGGCTGTTGAGCGGGCACCCAGCGTCGCACGTCGTGGCCGGGCATGCGCACGCGCACTGGTCCGTGTCATAGACCTGCGGCGCAGGGCACGAGGTCTGGTTCACGCACGTGCACTCGCACGTCGCCTGCATGAACTGCTGTTGCGCATTGCGGCAGGTCGCCACGCCCGCGCACGGGATCTTGGTGTAGTCCAGCGCGCAGCTCGATGTCACCGAGAACATGACGTCGTTGTAGTCCGAATCAGAGCCATCGGGACTGTCCTCCCAGCCAAAGTAGACGCGCTTGGTGTTGGGGTCACGCAGCACTGCCACGAGGCGCTTGTGCAGGCTGGGGATCAGCCGCCACCGAGCAGTGGCAGTGTTGAGGGCGTCGACCGAGTAAAATCGACCAGGCGAGCCGCAGACCTGGTTGGGGTCAAGGTAGAACCCGACACCGTCGCTGCTAGAGAACGGACCCAAGGTGCGCGTCGAACCGGGCGCCAGGCACGACCCGCCGTCCGTGCGTGTGCAGTCGACCGAGGTCTCGGCGAAGAGGGTCGACGGCGACACCACGCCCGAGACGGAGGTCGGTACTGAGGTCCTGTTGAACTTGAAGACACCCATGCGGTTGCGGTAGGCCGCGACCTCGTAGACAAACGACACGTTGACGTAGCAATCCACCTGGTTGGGGGCGAAAAAGATGTTGGGGTCCGTCGTCGTGTGGTCGACGTAGGCCATCTTCACGTTTCCTCCGTCCACACCTGCAGGCAAACATCACGGAATGAATGGGCTTCAGTGTCGCCGGACCTAAGATGAGTTTGGGGGAGGGTGCACCGAGGATGCCAAGAACCCAGGAATAGAAGCTGGCGTAGGTCTCCCCGGCCGGCAGCGGGTAGGCCGTTGTATTGCTCGTTGCTGGGCGTTGATCACGGTGGTAAATTTGTGAAACACAACCACCAAACTCCGCAACACCCCGTATACGTTAGTATGAACACGCATGGACTCAACCACCTACCTGCACACCTAATGCTTGTGCACAGGCGGCCGGGCTGCGCCACAGTCTACGAGAGGGAGTGTGAGAGTGTGTGTGTCGTGGTGCGTGAGTCCCTCAAGTGACCTCGGCGAATCGAATAGTGTAGTTCTCAGTGCGAGAATAGCCTCAGAAGCGGAGAGACGATTGGCGTACGTTGTAGCACGGGTCGGCAGCGTTCGAGACGGCCACAAAGGCAAGCAGCAAGAGCGGCAGCAGCAGCGCCGCACCTCCTCCGTGGTGGTGGGAGTTGAGCATTTGGGCCTGGTGGGTGGTGTGAAGCAGAGGGCAGAGCGCGAGCGAGAGAAACAGCGAGACTGTCTCGCTGGCCTCCGGCGCAGAAGCCCGACCAGCCGCCATATCCTGATTGGGCGGCTCACTGTATTGGCCATGGAACGAACCACATTTGGAGCTCGAGTGGTGAACGACAGAAGGATCACAACCACAGCCAAATTTGGTTTGCTGCCTGGATCGGTCTTGCAGGCAGCCAACAACTCACACCAAAAGGAAACACACGTCTTCTCCAGCTGTGCGCTGTAGTTTTCATTGCTCTCTGGTACGCGCAGTTAGTTTGGGGTGGTGCTGGCGTGGTGTGGGGCCAATGTGCAGCTGTTGAAAAAGGAATAAAAATATAAAATCCAAAAACCAAAAGAAACGGTTTTCCCTCTCTCGCACGTCATTTCGTACCTCTCCCACGGTGAAGAAGCCGTGCCAACGATGAAGGCCAACATATTCCCTCGTGTAGGTACGGGCGTGGATGGCGAGCAGCAGCGGCCAACCGAGAACATAATTTACTAATCGAGATTGTAAATGCCCGCCTTACTCATTGTCGTTTGTGGTGCAGCGTTTGGGCTGGTGGTGGGCGGCATCGCCACCTCGTGGGTGTTGACCATGTCCCTTGGCCACAACGAAGATGGACGGCTCCCCTACATCAGCGAAACTGGTACATCTCACATCCTTTCTTTTATTTTCGTATATTTGATTTCTTTAATCATTTTAATATCCAACGTGGCTCGTGTAGGCACGCACGCGCCAGAACGCTACGTGTTCACGTTCGCGCTGAGCTGCGCGGCGGTGCTGTTCGCGCTGTCGGCCTACCTGCTGTTCCGCCACCTCAAGGACCGATTCCAGGACGTGGCCGACTTCTACTACGGCTTCGCGCACGATCGTGGCACCGTGAGCATCGCCGATGACGTCGGCGGCGATGACGGCCGCTACAACCGGGAGCGCATCATCCTCCTCGGCAGCGAGCGCATGATGCTCTCCCTCCTGCCCAAGGCCAACTACGTGGCGCTCGGGCTGTCGCTGCTGGCCTGCGCGTGCCTGCTGTTCCTCGCCGTGGTGGACCTCAAGGAGGCGCGCTACTACCACGGCTCGGCGTCGGCCATGTTCTTCGTGCTGGGCATCCTGCAGGGACTGCTGCTCACCTCGCTCACCTACGCCCTGTGGCGAGTCCAAGCCTTGCATAGTGGCCGCAGCAACTTCCACTTCTACGCCAAGGTACCACTCTACGATCGACCTCCTTGCTCGACCAAAACTGCCAATGTGTTTGCCAACGTGGAACCAACCGCGGTTGAATTCTGCTCGTCAGGTGTTTACGCTCTTCATGTGCCTCTTCTGCACCTTCCCGCTGGCGCTGGTCGAAGGTCTCTTCATTGGCCTGGCCAAGCTGCACCTTAGGTAGGCAACCGCGCTTCTTTCATTCCTCCAGCGCTCAACCGGAGGCATTGGTCTTGGCTGACGCACAGTCTCACTTTTTCCCCATTCATGTCAGCGACGACGGCCTGCACAACGTGGGAACGGTCAACCAGTACCTTCTCACGCTGTCGCTGCTGCTCCACTTCTTCTGCTACTCGGCTGAGTTGAGCGCCGTCGACATCACCTTCCACCTCCAGTTCGCCGCCGTCGACCGTATCATCGCGCTGGGCGGCAGCTCGTCGCTGTCCACGCGATCCAGCAGGTTCTTCGACGAAGAGGACCGGACCCTGGGCGCCGCCGAGGCCGGGCGTCGGTTCGGAAGCAACGTCATCAGCCTAAACGCGAAAGAGTACGAAGAAGACGATGCCGACGATGACCAGCTCGAGGGCGGCCGGGGCATTCGCTTCGTCAACAAGGGCAGCAGCGCGGGGCGAGAGATGCACGAGATCATCCCCGTGGAGGTGCTCGACCTCAATTCCTGACCTTTCCTCCGGCATGCCGTCGCACACGAGGTACCTCGCGTTATTTTTTTATTAAAAAAAGTGTATTATCTTTTCCTATTTTGTACAAAATCAATATTAAAATACAAATTATCCAGAAGGATTTAGTTTGAATATTTGAATGGGTAAAATTGTACGAAATCATGGCGCAATTCTGGCGATTTTTTGGCCGGCTTGGTTCTGTGGAACGTGCTAGCACGTGCAGTTGCACGGTACCCACCACTCCGCCAACCACGGGGGCCGTAACTTTTCTGGTGTGGGCGGCGATTGGCATCACTGCGGATGGCACGAACCAGCGACGTCTCCTCGCCTTCCACTCATCTTCTCGGTCTTTCCTGCCCGCGGCCCGGCGCGAAGGAAAGCACCGAAGCTCAAGCTGCGCACTCACAACCCCACCTCGCCGTTAAATTGAAAACCGACTACTCACTGATCCTCACTCTCACCAGAGCTCTGTATCAGACCACCCACACCACAACTGTACAACACAACACACAACCATCTCGACGCGACCTGCAGAACACACAGCACACGCGACACACAACAAAGAAGCCATGGAGCTGCTGTTAGAGCGGGCCAAGAAGCAGGGGAAGGCGAAGAAGAGGTCCTTCCTGAGGAAGCACATAGTGCAGCTGGGCGGGCACGCGGTGGCCAGCGTCTCGCGCACCGTCGTGCACCGCGCGACCAAGGGTCCCATCTTCCCCAACTTCTCCGTGCGCAACGAGCTCTTCTACCAACTCATGCTCGAACTCGTACGTCGCCCACCACCCACCTCCCTCTGCGACGCCTGTAGAACCAGCCATGTCTGGTAGTGCTGATGCGTTAAAACTGTGCCTTGCCAGATGGACAAGCACTACTTGCTGTCGTGGCAGGAATGGCGACACCTGATGCCCATGCAGCCCATACCCCGGTGGCACCTCCGTAGGTACGATGGTCGGTGTCGGTGGTTGGTCAAACCAGGACTGTGTGCATTCTGGGCGTATATCTTTGGTTAAATTGATATACTTACATTTTTTGCATTCCATCAGGACCAAAGTGGTGCTGAAGAACGGTCTCAAGACAGAGTTCATCACCTACGTGCCTCGTCGCAGGCACCTTCGAAACAAGAAGCACAACAACAAGAAGAACAAGCACACCGACTCGGACGACAATCACTCCGCAACAGGCAGCAACAGGGAGAGCGACATGTTCTACGGCGACGCCGAAGACTTTGACGACAGCCAGGGCGTCGGGCCGAACTCGAGCGGCCACAAGCTCGACCCCGCCAAGGCGCCCGGCAATACTACTACTACTAATAATCACAATCATGGGTCGTCGGCCACGGTGACCGGGCAGATCGTCAACGGGGCGGCCGAGGGGAATCACCGCGGCGTGAAGGACATCGGCCTCGACACGCCCACCATCATCTACTTCCACGGCGGCGGCTTCTGCTTCGGTTCGGTGCCGGTCTATCGAAGGTAACGTCCATCATTGGCGGCTCGACCAATCGGAACCCAGGCTCGGCCTGACCGTGCGTGGTGTGCCCGTGGCATTGCAACAGATGGCTGTGGACCTTCTCGCGCAAGCTGGGCGGCATTCGATTCTTTGCGGTTGACTACTCGTTGGCGCCCGAGGCTCCGTTCCCGATTGCCCTCAAGCAGGCCCTCGATTCGTACCTGTGGCTCACCGACCCCGACGGAGGCGGTACCGTGTGCTCCCTCTTCTTCTTCTTCTTTGTCGTCGATCTGTGCCTGTTCTAGGCGTGATCGAACATCGTGCCTAAGGCATCATCTTTTTAATCTTTATTATTTAGGTGTGTCGCCGCAGAACGTGATCATGGGGGGCGACAGCGCCGGAGGCAACCTCGTGGGAGCCCTGCTGATGCTCATCCGCCAGATGCGGCTCGAGAAGGAACTCAAGATCATGCACGGCACCAACACCAACTCCAAGACTCACACATCTATCAAGAAGACCAAGACCGAGCGCCCGGTACTTATGACTCCCTGGTTCTCCTCAATCTCATCATTTCTCCTTCGTTCTTCTTCGTTCATCTACGATGCCGGGATCTCACTCGCGGCCGGGTACAGATCCGACCGGCGGTGGAGATTGACGCCGAGCCGATTCAGGCCATGGCAAAGGGCAAGGGCAAGGGCAAGGAAGTCAACGAGCCGGAGCAGATCGTCGATGAAACGAGCAAGCAGGAGCAGGAGCGACTGCAGGACGAAGGAGAGCTGGAATTCGACGACGAAGACGAAGAGGAGGCGGAGAAGGAGCGACAGCTGCACCGGCAGCTCGGCGTGCGGCGCCAGTCGATGGCCGACTTCAAGAGCTCGGCCGAGCGCGCGCGCCAGCGCGTGACCAAGGAGAAGCAGGCCAAACACAACCGGAAAGCCAGCAGCGCAGAGGGCCGCCGTGTGAAGCGCAAGGAGAAGGTCGACACGCCGAGCCAGACCACCGACGACGACGAAGCAGCGCTTGAAGATGGCGATGATGTCAATCGCGGCGCGCTCGAGGGCCTCGACGGCGGCGACGAGACGGCGAGTATGCCGACGCTGAAGGCCATCGGGTTCGACATGGAGCTGTTGCGACGACACCGGATCCCGTTCGAGCTGGACGAGGACCAGGCCGGCAAGTACCCCAGCATGCCGCTGGCCGCCATGCAGATCTCGCCGTGGATCGACGTGAGCGAGAATAGCTCGGTCCACTCTCCGGAAAGCTGGGGCCAGATGAAGTTCAGGCCTTACAACATCAGCGTCAGGTGAGCGCGCTCATGTCACACGACACGCATACAGATGCACATATGCACACACACGCGACACACACGATTGTTGGCCAACGATTGCTGTACAGGTTTGCGCTGGCCTATCTGGGGCTTGAGGCCACCGACCCCCCGGCGGCGAAGAAGAAGGAAAAGCAGACGCGGAGGGAGTGGAATGGCATTGTCAAGCTCTTCCACCAGCGCAGGCAGCGTCGACTCCAATCGAAGTCGAAGAAACAGCACTGCAGCGCGCAAGCCACCGTCGCGGTGCCGCAATCGTCGGCCATCGCTCCACAGCAGCCGACCAACGGCCAAGCGCAGCAGCCGCCGGCCATCTATATCGACGACGACGAGCCCGCTGCCGAGCTACTCACACCGACGCAGATCTGGCGCGACCGACTGCGCCGCAGCAACTCAGTGCTGAGCAGCACAAACCTGCTGGCCAAGTCTGCAGCCAGGAGCGCGGCGGAGGTGGCCGAGTGCCAGATCGCCATCGGCGAAAAGCGGTACGAGGAGGGACCTGTCGAGGTGGAGGCCGACGACCACAACGCCGACGCTGGCGCTGAGGGGAGGCTCGTTGGCCCGACCAACGCCGCCGAGGCGATGCGCCAGAAGCGGCATCAGCAAGAGCCGGACACGTTCGACATCTGCTCGCCCTACATTTCGCCGGTCTACGGCGACATGCGTGGATTCCCTCCACTTCTGATCTCTGCAGGTACGAAGCCATGTATCCCCAGTGTTGTGTGTTGTTGCGAATGTGAGTTCACCGGTTGGCTTTGTACATCGTGCAGGCGATGTGGAGCCGTTGCTCGGGGACATCATGCGGTACTACCACAAGGCCGTTGACGCGGGCATCGAGGCCGAGATGGACCTCGGCAAGAACATGAACCACGACTACCAGGTACCCTTTACCTCTCGCACTTGACACAAAGAGAGGTAAGCCTCGTCAAGGAAGAAACTCACACTAACCAATTTCTTCAATCATCAGTTCTTCTTCTCCGCGGTGGCCATGTCTGATCCCGAGATTCCTCGCTTCTGGGGCGTAGCTCGGTCGTGGGTGCACCGCCAGCTCCAGCGAGAGATCCAAACGTCGGCGCCGACAACAGCGACGTCGGCCCCGGTCCCCTCGCCAGCCGGTGCGCACAAGCACGCGTGATGTCGACAACAACTTAAAAACAAAGAGAAAAGAAATATATTTTGATTTTTCACCAACACAACATGCGTACGGCACATAGATCGGCATCCACTTCGATTCACTGCGCAAGTCGCCGCGCTGGCGCCTCGCTCACCCTTGGCTCCTCTCGAGGTAAACTTCCCCTGATCAATTTAAATCCGGAGCATAAGTTTGCTGCCTTCCTCTAATTTTGTCGTTTCATCTGCTGTTGTATTTATTTATATTTATATTCATATTTACCTGGTGATATGCCACCTTTGTGGGACCCAGGCGTGTCTCTCCAGCTGCGACCGCGGGTTTTGGGGACACCCGCCTCCGGCAGTGTGCTCGCGACTCGTTGCCACCTTCTCGAGCAGGCCCAGCCCTTACGTCTGAGCTCGGCCGCCAAGCGCTTCTATGCCTCCTCGTTCTCCTTCAAGGGTGCGCCTTCTCCCTTGGTCTACACACCACTTTCGCTCACCGGCGGTGCTGTTGGCCACACGACACATAGAGCACGGCATCGAGCCTGACGAGGTGACGAACGTGACCGATCGTATTCTGGGCAAGATCGGTACCAACCTGCACAAGGAGGACAAACATCCGCTGAACACGATCAAGAAGAGGATCGAGCAGTACTTTGTGAACAAGTACACGACTGAGGACAACAAGCCGCTCTTCAACATCTACGACTCCTTCAAGCCGGTCGTGTCTGTCAAGGTGCGCGGCCCATTCCCTCGCCATCGGCCCAGTTCAGGCTGTCTAACACGAACAACACGACACGACGACACACGAATGCGCTCCTGACCCGCAGCAAAATTTCGATGATCTTCTCTTCCCCGTGGACCACGTCGGTCGCAGCGCCAACGACACTTACTACCTCAACAAATCGACGCTGTTGCGGTACGCCAACACGCGCTAGCGAGTTGCCCGCGGCTTTCGGGGCGTGCGCAGTGGGTCTCATTAGCCCCATTTCCTCCCTTTTCTTACTGCCGCCGCAGTACGCACACGTCGGCCCACCAAGCTGAGCTGATGCGAAGCGGCGAGCGCCAGTTTTTGGTCACCGGCGACGTCTACCGCCGCGACGCCATCGACAAGACGCACTACCCTGTACGATGCACGCCGCACGCCGCACGCGCGCGACACACACGTGACACATCTCTCATCGCTGCGCACATTCGGTCGGATCAGGTCTTCCACCAGATGGAGGGAGTGCGCATCTTCACGCCCGAGCAGCTCAAAGCGCAGAACAAGACTCCCGAGGAGTTCGTCGCCGCAGACATGAAGGACGCCCTCGAGGGCATGATCAGCGCCGTCTTCGGCAAAGTGCAAGTGCGGTACGCATATTCCCCCCCCCCAATACCTACCTACCATATATATTTGCATTCCAATATATGTCTGTGAAAATGTATATTGAAATGTATGTGCCATGTCAAGGTGGGTGGACGCCTACTTCCCCTTCACGCATCCCTCGTGGGAAATGGAGATCTTCTTCGAGAACAAGTGGCTCGAGGTCCTGGGCTGCGGCATCGTCAACCCGCAAATCGTCCGCAACTGCGGCATGCCCATCAGCGAAGGTTCCTCCTCTTTGCCCCGTTCCCACCCCTGCTTGATGAGCGCTCGAGTCCGCCGCGGCTCACATGCGGCTTCCGATGGGAAGATGGCGGCTACGGCGCGGAGGGCAATGTCGGGTGGGCGTTTGGGCTGGGCCTGGAGCGGCTGGCGATGGTGCTCTTCGACATCCCCGACATCCGCCTCTTCTGGTCCCAAGACAGGCGCTTCCTCGACCAATTCGCCTCCGGTATCCCCAGCTCCTTGTTTTGTTTTATTTTGAGGTCGTGCTTCACTGCATGTTCACAGTTTCTCAACCCGTGTCGTGCGTCGTGTGTCGTGTGTCGTGCGTGTGTTGTGTGTCATGTGCCGTGTGTTTGTGCGTGCACGCTTACCGTTGCCGGTGCAGGCGAGAACGTGAAATTTCAGTCCTACAGCAAGTTCCCGCCGTGCTATAAGGACATCACCTTCTGGGTGCCCGACCACTTCCACGAAAATGCCTTCTTTGAGCTCGTGGGCCAGGTTTGTTTCCTGTCTTTCTCTCTCTCTTTCTAGCCCCCGGCCGCGGCGGGTATTTCCGGTCGTGCGGGCGGTCGGTTTTGACAATTGCCCGCGCTGCCTAATCACACGCCACACACGACACGCCCCCAAAAAGGTTGCGGGTGATCTGGTGGAGTGTGTGGAGGTGGTGGACAAGTTCACACACCCAAAGACCAACCGCACCTCCCTCTGCTTCCGCATCACCTACAGATCCATGGACAGGTGCGCGTGCGCCACCTCTTCTTTCTCTTTTTTTGCTTCAGTTATGAATACATCCCTGAGACCAAGAGCGACACACACTCCACTCAACATTCACACAACTCACATAATGTTACATTCACACACACGCGCGCGCGCACAATTTGGCTCGATGTGCAGGTCGCTCACCAACGAGGAGATCAACGAACTTCAAGCGAAGGTGCGCGATGAGGTGCCGGTCAAGCTGGGCGTAGAGCTACGCTGAGATGCCCCGTGTCATTCGTTCGTTCTCACTCTTTAAAAGAAATACTGCGACTCGGGCCTTCTAAAGTAGGTCTTGATTGGCCCTCTCGGAAGAAGTGAGCTTCACGCTCTGGCGTCGCCTGAGGCCAGCCAGACCGGTGTCAAGACAGCCCCGGTCAGAGTACCCTAACCTGTCAAGAATGACAGCTCTGTCACGGGCTGCGCCAAACAAGGCAAAGAAGAAGGTCCCCGGCCACAGACGTCCCTGGGCACAGATCCCTGCGGCACCTGCTCGGTGACAGCACTGGCAATCTGAACTCAGTTGCAGTCAGTGGCAGTGCTGTGGGGTCCCAGTGGCGCGGTTCTGTGGAAGCTCAGGGGAGCCGCGGGCCGCTTCCTCGGGCCGGAAAGCGTGCCGCCTGCCATCCCGACTGCGGCGCCCGCCAAGATGGCACTGTCAGGGTCGTGTAGCTTCATGTTCATTGTGCCCTTGGCTCTCTCCCTTTCGCACTGCATTTCTTCAACCCGTTGGTCCCAGTGCGCTAAGAGTGAGAAGCACACGCGGCTCGTCGTGCCAACGCCTTCTCGCTCGCAGCGTTTGGCACAACCTACGACACACGGAGCCCAGGCCCACCACGAACGCAACCGGTTTCATTTCATATTATTCTCAAGATTATAGAGAGCAACGCGGCCCTTGCTCCTTCACCCGGTACCTGTCTTTCTTCTCTTTGGGCGAAAGTAAAAAATAAAATGAAAGAAATATCTCGGTTTTCATTTGAGAAAATAATTAATTCATTTCCACGGAGCAACGCAAACCTCACCGACGACGTCTCGCGCGTGCTCTTCCGAACTTTACACGTTTTGTTTTTTTCTCTCTCTCTCTCTCTGAAGACGAAGCTAATCGTTCATCAACTGTTCTCTCGCACAGCTCCGGAGCCGCTGCAAAGCCACCATTCTAGGCGTCGTGGCTGGCTTCTTCCTACGACGCCTGCAGTCGAGGAGGAGCCACCACAACGAAGAAGACGAAGGAGGAGCGCCAGGTGGTTGACGTGCGATGATGTCTCTGCCCGGCGGGGAGATGAAAGTCGATTTGGAAGCAGAGAATCGTAAGAAGAAGAAGAAGATGGAAAGGGCGGAGGAGAGCGGAGAACTTACACCGCACACGACTTCTTCTTCTTCTTCTTGGATGATGGAGGAAGAGGCCAAGGCCTTGGAGAAAAAAAGGAAGAAGAAGGAGAAGAGACGCAAGATGAAAGAGGAGCTCGCCCGGCTGCGCGCGCAGCTCACCGAGTGCGAAGCGCAGCGGACCGTGCTCGAGGACGCCCTGTGCGAGACACGCCACCAGTGGGCCGAGAGCGAGGAGCGCTGGGTCCACGTCGCCGACTCCGCGCCAGTCATGATCTGGATGTCCGGTTCGGCTCACCTCCTCCTCCTCCTCCTCCTCTATTCTTTCGTTCCTCTTTTCTCACGTGCGGCGTGGGCGGTGGTGCGTGCGGTTGTGTGCGGTTGTGTGTGCGGCGGTGTGTGCGGTGGTGTGTGCGGCGGTGTGTGCGGCGGTGGTGTGCAGACTTGACGAAGGAGTGCACGTACTTCAACAAGGCGTGGCTTGACTTCGCGGGCCGGACGTTCGATCAGGAGTACGGCTACGGGTGGCTCGAGGGCGTGCGGCCGGAGCAGCGGGCGGGCTGCTGCGATGTCTACGTCGCGGCCTTCGACGCGCGCCAGCCCTTCTCCATGGAGTACGAGCTCATGCGCCACGACGGCCAGTACCGATGGATCCTCGACAACGGCGTACGCTCCCCGTCGCGTGTGTGTGCGGTGTGTGCGCGGTGTGTACGGTGTGTGCGTGTGCGGTGGTGTGTGCGGTGGTGTGTGCGACTCACACGGTGTGTCATCGATCGATGCAGGTTCCGCGCTACGCCAAGGGGGAGGGTGGTGAGGCCACCCACAAATTTTTGGGGTTCATAGGCTCGTGCATTGACGTGACGGACCTCAAAATCGCCAAAATCAACGCCGACAAGATGGCCCAGGCCAAGACCAACTTCCTGGCCAACATGAGGTACCACACACAGCACAGAACACACACACAACACACACACACACACACACACACACACACACACTCTCTCTCTCTCACACACACACACAGCACAGAACGAAGTCACTAACGTGTGGGTTGCATTAGTCACGAGATTCGTACGCCATTGAACGGGGTGATCGGAATGACGAGCCTGCTGCTCCAGACCCGGCTCGACCGAGAGCAGAGGGACTACGTGCAGACCATCAACAAGAGCGGAGCCACGCTCCTCCGGATCATCGAGGATATCCTCGACTATTCACGGGTGCGTGCTCCTTGTCGTGTTGTCAGGTGTGTGTGTCGTGTGTGTCGTGTGTGTCGTGTGTGTCGTGTGTAGTGGAGGTGTGTAGCTCACTCGGCGCGTGTCCTGTCCAGGTGGATGTCGGGAAGCTCAAACTCGAAATGCGATGCAGTGAAGTGCGCGAAGTGGTCAAAGACGTGGTGAACCTGTTCTCGCGCGAGGCCAGCAACCACCACAACATCATCAAGTACTGCCCTTAACTATCCATCTCACTCAATTGTCTGGTCTGACCAGCCAACCACCTCGTTCTAATTCTCTCTCTCGGTCGCGCTAGTGTTTGCATCGACCCCGCCGTGCCCAAGTACGTCATCACCGACGCCACTCGGCTACGACAAATCCTGTGCAATCTGGTACGCACACGCACACTGCACTTGCCACACACACACACACACACACACACACACACGACCGCACACGCAGCCATGTCGTTGGAGGTGACGTTCGTTCGTGTGGTGGT